GCTGTTTTTCATACAGTCCAGGGATGTATACAAAGAACAGCTAACTAAATATAATAATCAGTCCACCGATTCTTTTCTTTCAGAACTATTTATCAAAATCAGTAAATAGATTACTTAAAAAAAAAAATTAAAAAATAACCCACAGGAACGCAGCTTCTAATTAGAAACATCACATTTTGATTTTGGTTTTATTCTGGCAATGTGCCATTCTGACCAACCAAAGCAAGAGATAGTGGTTGCAGTTTATTTAAACAGTAGTCCTGGGCAGCTAGCAGGTTTCCAGATGTGCTACTCGACATCCCTGCAACTAATAAATAAAAGGAGGAGGACTGCTGGAATGCTCGCATTTTTCCCCAGAAAATTGCTCCAAGAGTTAAAGACAGGGATGATAAAAGCGGCTGCACCAGTTCTTGTCATGATGCCAGAACTGAACGTTTACCTAGCTCTGCGTCTCCACCAGATGGGGTAAAAAAAAATTTAGAAAGTCTCTCTTCCCAACCATTTTGCCATGAAGAAGGGTATAGCGAAGCAAAACAAATGATTTATGTGGTAGAAACAGACCCATAAAGACACATTCAAATAGTTGCACGTAGGTTTCTTGGCGTTTATGTTAGCAGACATTTTGAAGGAGCACCTGTAATCTAAACACTATCATGTTATTCCACAGTCCATCATTTTGCCTGTCATTATATTTATAATCCACGCACTCCGATCTTACACCTTGTGCTGCAAGAGGGGCTCTAAATTGGGATGGGTAAACTTTGCAGTTGAGTTATGTTTTGTTTCTCAAAGCCACAGGTGTACAGCTCTGGAAGATGCTGAATGTTCTTAGTGAAGGAGGCTTTGTGTGTCTTTGTAAATCCCCACTGCCTAGTGCAGCGGTCTAGTATCTGAGACTCAGCAGAAGCTAGAGCAGGGTGGAAGTGCAGAAGTGAGGGAAGAGTGATCATAAAACAAGGTTGAAACCAAGAACCTTTGTGCAGACTGTCTTGTGGAAACTGGGCATGAAGCAGGCTGCATGACCACAAATCACCGAGACAAGTGCCAGAAAACATTTTATCAGTCTTTTCCCTCCCCCAGAGCAGAGGGAAGACTCTCTGCCAACCCCAGATCCACACTGAGGACAGGGTGGAGGATTAGCAGGCAAGGCCAAAGAAATAGCTGGGCCAGAGCCAGGACGATGCCTATATATCATGACTTCTCTGGGCCTAAAGGAAGCCCTTGCCTGGGAAAGCATTTTTTCAACAGCTGCCTGAATTTCCATAGCTGGTGCATGTGGTCCCACCAGTGGTCCCCATCTGACCTGCCCAGCCAGCTCATGAGCAGCTCAACTCTTAATAACTCAACAACTCTTCTCATGTGCCCAGGACTGAGACCTGGGCTCTGGAAGAGCACTCCTGCACAGCGTGACAAAACACAGACATTTCTGAGCCAGTGCAGGCACCGCATCCCATTCAGCCGTGCCGGCTCAACGCTACATGGGCTGCTGCTTTGCAACGTCCTAATCCTTCACCTGCTACAAATAGGCTTAGTCTTTATGCTGTCAATACATGCTATAAAACCCATAAGGTACTGAGGATGAAATAACAGCCATTACCAAAGCAGCTGCCCCTTCTGAGGCCACGGATTGTTTTCAGTACATTGGACTGACACCTCTAGATAAAAATAATGAAAAATTAAAAATCCTTCCTTTTTCATCAACTTCCCCATTCACAGGCTAGGGTAACACTATAAGAACCACAGTCACAAGTTGATGAAGTGATGATAAACATAAGAAAAGTAAGAAATCCTTGATTATGTATAGGGAGATCAGGAAGACAGCCAAAACCAAGTTGAGAATCCATCAGTTCTTATGTCTAAAGGTGCTTCTAAGCATGTATTGTGGCTGCTTCCTTGAAAGGAAGGGAAGAGTTGGAACAGACTTCTATAGGAGCAGGATATCATCCTTTAATGTTTTAAACCAATCAGTGTATCCTATAAAAATCGAGATGCAGATCCTAAGAAAAAAATGGGAAGTGGGTTGGACAGACAGAATTTTGTAGAGTTAACTGCATCTGGGTGTCTACCATGATTTTTATCTATAAAAAAAGCAAACCCTAAACAAGATGCACCATATATGGCAAGACTGTTGCTTGGGCTGCTAAAGACAATCTGAAAGACTGTTTATTACAGCTAATAAAAGTCAAACACGAAGTGCAAAGTATAATACCTTTCCCTTGATTTATTTTCAAAGATAATACGGATGTGGATCATTTCAGACAAGTCTGCTTTCTTCAACATTTTGGCAGGCACTGCTTTCCTACAGAGAAGCACTACCTGTTTTGTGTGTGTCTCTGGTTGAATTGTCTCTACGCAAAATCCTTCTTTCTAAGCATTATCAAATACAAACTAAGGTACCCCAAAGAAAGAGTTACCTTAGGCAAAGAGCTGGATGTGCCTGTGAGAGTTTCTTTTATAAACCTTTAGCAGCTGCTCGAGAACGTAATACTCAAAACACTTTTCTTGACCATTTCAAGATTGTGTCATTGCTATCTTTCTGCTAGCACAGCCAGAACTACCTGATTTAATGAAGCAGGCACCGACTACCAAAGGTCAGTGTGTTACCACCTGGATATCAATCGCATACCCATACTGGTAGCTTTTGTACCGTTTTGTATATTTTAAAGTAATAACATTCTTCTGATAAGCTGCAACTCTTTTAGAAAGGCTTCCTCCCACACAGTATTTTTCTAACTCAGCTGCCAAATGCCTACAGAAGCACACGTGCATGCTATGTATGATAATGTAATTTATAGTAATATAAAATGAGACACAGCTCGACAGAAATCCCAGAGTTTGTAACTTGGTCTATTTGTTGCACATTATTGTGACAAACATGGCTTTTTAAGAGGTCTCCAATGAATTATATGCCAGAATGTTCTTTATCATCTAGACTGCTTGAACTCAGTATGACTAATTCAAAGAAAACAGGGATCCTCCAGAATTTCTTGAAGTACTCTAAATATGCTGCATACTGAAATATCAATTATGACTACAGTCCACATCCTGCTTCCACGAAATCAAGTAAAGTTTTGGCATTGACTTCTACAGAAGCTGGACATTTTCCTGTGATGTTTTAGTTTAGATAAATCATGACTAACATAGTTTTAAATGTATTCTTTGATGGCATGAATTTAGAGCAAGTCTCCAGTCTAATCAGAAAATATTATCTAACGTTATTCACGAGGCTGGTTGAAAACTGTACCAGATCACACTAACTGCAGATTAGATTGTAAACATAAACACGGTAGAACGGTTAAATTTAGCTTGAAGTTACTACTGAACATCTGCTTCTGAACACTTTTGCTAGTACCTTTTAACACTGATAGGAGGGAATAACTTGTGAGTAAGCTTTATAAGAACATACCAAATTAAAAAAAAAAAAAACAGCTTCAAACAGTGTTTAATCAGCATAATATCTACACGTTTAAACACAGGAACTAATAAAACATATTGCTGTTCTTGTCAGCCACTTAAGGCAAAGGCCCCATGCATGCTTCATGTATTAAAGTCTCCCCTGGATTATGTGAAACTCAGACATCTCCCAACACAAATAAATATTTTCATTTGGAATGGTTGGGTAAATCTCCTGGATTTCATATTTTTTAGGAAGCAGAGTCTAGGAAAAGATTGTGCTCTTGTCAAACTTTTGGCTTACACACAGTGCTAGGCATGGGGTACAACTGACTTCTTGCTCCTCTCCTTTTTCCAAGGACAGTAATTGTTGGCTGGGTGACACCCCTTATCAGTTCAGACTTCGGGTATTTTGTATGTAGAGCTAGTGAGCTCTGTACAGTCCTAACTGACTCCTGCCAACTTGGACTAGGAGAGTAAACAGACATCAAGGATCTGCTTTCCCTTACATATCCAGCCTCAGCTTCTGAAGGAACATAAGGACATTCAAGCCCAAGCAAGTCCAAGTCACAAGTGAGCAGTTTGCCACTATAAAGTAATGCAAAGCCAGTGTAAAAAATACAAAGCATACAGGATCTCTAGCCAAAGTACAAGACAAACGATACATCAAGTCCTAAAACTGTGTTTCGCAGCTTCAGCTGTGCTCAGACTGTGAAATACCTGAGCACTGCTGCAATAGGAAAATATAAGCCATAGATATTGTCACTGACACAAGATACCGCACACAATATGGCAGAAAACAAAACTGTATCCACTTGTCAACAAGTTGGGTTTGCTTCTATTTTTATTATTAGAAAGTAAGAACAATTCTGCAGTAAATTAAATCCATCAGACCATGGGGGACCGAAGATCAGTCCAGAATACGATGCAGGCTGTCTTTCTTACTAATACTCATACGAAAATCTGAAACCAAAGTTTTGTGCTTGGACACCTTAAGTGAAAGTGTAATTAATCTTCATAACAAGAAGTCACGTCCTGTTTTAAACTGAGGGAACCTGGAATACATTTGGGATTCTGGAGCGAATGTATGACTGGATGCTGAGCAAAGCAGAAAACTAAAATGTTGAAATGTAAATTGTCATTACTTTTCAGGGGTAAGATTTCAGTAAGATTAACTGAGTCCTCCAGCTGTTTTCTGGCCATTGATTTGACCTGTCTGCACATTTCTGATGACAACATTATACTGGGTTTTATTGCCATTTATATTGGGTTTTTTATTGCCATGCATGAGGCTCTGATGACCTAGGTAGGACCACTTACTGCTGCAGGGTAAAAACCAACCTACCTAAACCTGTAGTGAGTCCTACTAATATCAGACAACTAGACATAAGGATAAAATCCTGATGAATTCCAGAAACCCAACTCCCTTTGACATCAGGTAAGCCCAGCTCTCCCCACAGAGATCTAAACTGAAGCTTAGGTACCAATATCCACACCAATCTCCATAAAGTTTCAGACCATCGTGAAGACCTTTCTTTTCTATCCAAAATGCAATGTTTTCAAGTGCCAATGAGTTTTCACCAGAAAAGACTGCCCATTTGGTTTACCTGCATCAGCAGCTGTGATCAGTAGTACGTACTGCTCCTTTGCCTCCCGGTCCAGGCTCTGCACCAAGCACAGCTCTCCGCTGGCCGAGAGAGTAAAGGCTCCTTCTTCATTTCCAGACACCAGCACATAAGTAAGCTTGCTGTTTAGGCCTTGATCATCGTCCCTTGCTACAACCTACAAAAGCAATGCAAACACATGGGAAGAAATATCAAGAACTGATGAATGCAGGGTCTGTAAAATTTTATTGGGCTAGAGGAAATATTCTCTATGACAATAATCCAAATTAACGGATTGAATTAGTCCAAATGCTTTAACGACTAGTATAAATTAGGTGTAATTGTAAAAATGACTTAACACAGTGGTGATGGACTTAAGAGAATAGTTTGAAAACATTAAATAGTTGATTACTTATTTTTCTCAAGCATAAATACAGTAAAGACTGTGTTGGGGCTCAGTGAAAACCACAGATGATCTGGTATAGGCTGAGTTCATAGAATCATAGAATGCTTTGGGTTGGAAGGGACCTTTAGGGGTCATCTAGCCCAACGCCCCTGCAGTGAGCAGGGACAGCTTTAACCAGATCAGGTTGCTCAGATCCCCGTCCAACCTGACCTTGAATGTTGCCAGGGATGGGGCCTCTACCACCTCTCTGGGCAATCTGTTCCAGTGCTTGACCACCCTCATTGTAAAAAACTTCTTTTTAATGTCTAGTCTAAGAGTTCTGTATCAAAGCAAGCGTTACATGTCCTCCTGGCTGAATCCATTTAGTGCTTTTTCAAGGTTTGGCACGGAGCCTCATCCCATGTAGGCAACGATCAGATTGAGAGGTTTGTTGCATGAAAGCTGAGACTGAGATGAGAGATAGAGCACACTCTTAAAGTCCCAGTGTATGTGGGAAGGTAGGTAGGAAAAACACAAACAAAACTCCAAAGCATAATATAAACTTTTGGTAACAAACAAGAAAAACAAACCCTCACGCAAACAAACAAAAAGGAAGACAAGCCAACAACCACTGCACATTAGATTACAGCCAAGAGGCAACTTTTTTTTTTTTTTTTTGTAATTGTAGGAGATATTTATTTGCTGAATGTACTCACCTGAAGAATAACTTTTGGGAGCGTCTCTAAATTCTCAGGGACGTTGACAGAGTAGGGAGAAAGTTCAAATGTGGGAATATAATCATTGACATCCTTCAGAATAATACTGACTGTTGTGGTATCGGTCCTCGGGCTGCTCCCGCGGTCGGCTGACTGAACGGTCAATGTATAGGAGGGCTTTTTCTCTCTGTCCAAAGGCTTGGCAACTGTTATCACCCCTGTCACAGAATCAATCCGAAACTCATTATTGGCATCTCCGCTCACAATGGCATAGCGGACCTGCCCGTTTGTACCTTCATCTCCATCCGTAGCAAACACCTGGATTAAATCTGTCCCTGTCAAAGTATTTTCCCCCACCTCTACTTTATAAAGTTTTTGGGCAAAAAGCGGGTTATTGTCATTAATGTCCAGGACTATGACCACCACATCTGTAGACGAAGAAAGCGATGGCTGGCCCTTGTCTGTGGCTACCACAGTCAAGGTGTAGTTGGACACGGCTTCTCTGTCGAGCTCTCCGGTAAGCCTCACTTCACCGTCAATAGTGCCAATGCTGAATTTGTTTCCCAGAGGCCGGAGCAGACTATATTCGATGTAGCTGTTTGGACCGCTGTCGGGATCGGTCGCCTGCGCTTTGAACACAATCGTATCTATCGGCGTGTTTTCCGGGACGTAGGTCAGCTTCGGAGAGATAAAGCTTGGAGGGCTGTCGTTCACATCCAGCAGAATAATTGAAACTTGGGCTGTGCTTGTGTACCTGGAGGCCGGGAGAAGGGCCATGTCGTGGACTTGCACGACAAGGCTGTAGAAAGACTGGCTTTCCCGGTCCAAAGGCTGCCTGATGCTCAGCACCCCGCTGTTGTCAATGCCGAACTGCCCCGCGCTGTCCCCGGACGCAATGCTGAAGGCCAGCTGTGAGTTGGAGCCTGGTGGGATGGGGAGAAGAAAGGTAGAGAACGTGACTTTATCCCACTGACCTAGATACAAATGTTTCTGGCCTCATTTCCTATGGAAATTTTGCTGCCTGTTCAGCCTCCTCATCACCATTTTTGAATCCATCAGCTAATTTCAGCCAAGATTCACAGTGGAGCAGAAGCCTTTGAAATAATTATTTTCTGACAAGAGTTGAAGAGAGAGAGAGAAGGATGTTAACTGGAGCAGCCGCACAGGCAACAGCCGGCAGAGCTCACCTCTGCCTTTCCTTCATTTTGCAGGAGCTGCACGGTGGCAACATGCGCAATTTTTCCCTATCTACAATGGTTAGGGATAAAGGTTTTGAAGAGTTTTCCTTCAGAAACCAAGACTCAATAGTTCTGCTGCTCACTGAACAGCTGTTTTCCTCCATTCTCCCCAGTCCAACTAAGCAACATTATTATTAATGTAATTATTTCATGAATTCTTCCACCCAATTATAAAAAAGCCACAACCAGAAACTCCCAAGCCTAGCTGGAGCAAGCCAAGAGTGAATACTGCGGAGAGGTATGCTTCCCATATATGGCATGGTATTCCAAAATATCAGATGAAGAGCCCTCATCTTATGATCAAAACATAACTAGCAATTATGGTCAAAGGAGAGATTTATAATTCTGGTAAGGGAAATGCATTCTGAATCTTGACAAGGCTGTGAAATGACCTTAAATATGTCATACAGAAAACAAATGTATGTTACCTCTTCAACTCCAGAGTTCACTCTAAACAACTAATTTTTGGGAACACCTAATCAAAATGAGTCTTCTTCTTATATATATATACACACACATGTACATATATACACGTATCTTACTCCTATTTTAATTAATTTTGAAAATTTTGTTTTCTTGTTTTGGGTCATAAAGACTGTGATTTAGGGTTAGTAGATTAACAGACCATTTGCTACTAATTAACCACTCAAACTCGCTTTTTCATGCAAAGAAACCAAGCTGTCTGCTTTGCATTTGCTGTGCATTTTGTCATTTTTACTCAGAAGCTCTTTTCCCTCCAACTGAATTGCTCTGATAATAAAATTATTCCTGTATTAGATTTATTAATCTCTGCTGTTCATTATGCTCAGACTTGGGAACTCCAGTCTTACTTGTCTTTCCCGCAGCGGCTACTCTAATTGGCATCTTTCCCTCTCTCTTCTTCTCTTGTAGGAACTTAGTTATAAAATAAACATAACCGAACATGAAAGACAACATTTTTTAACACAATTAAAGGAATTAATACATTTATATGCCAGATATTAGTGTTTCTACACTACTTTGATCAAGTGAAGCACTGTGAAAGTTTAATGCTAGTCCATTTTCTGTTCAGCTGTATTTTCAAATGCCTAATTGTATGGATGAAGTCTTCTGATTTCAGTAAAGTACTTTCTGGCAATTCAAGATATTTGTCAATTGACGTTAGAGATAGGTAGGAATTAGATCTAACAGAAGAAAATTACTTTAAAAATACTCTTTTTTTTCCCCCAGTGTTTTCTATGGTGGTGTTTGTTCCTATAAAATTTACTGCTTGCTCTTCTTTATCTCACCTCCATGTACCTTTTCATTCCTTGTCCTGCATTCTCATAGGTATCAAAGCTGCTAATGCTTATATAGATTAAACTGTGAAGCAGAAGGAGGGTTGCCTAAGTATCAGTGGAGCCAGGACTGCCACTTAATGAACTATTTGTTTTTAAACACAGCATGCCAAGCTGGCATTGTGCACCTCATACATCGCCTCTCCCCAGGTTTGGAGCTGGGATTTTCCTAGGGAGAATGGAGGGGCATCCTCTTCACTGAGCTTTGGGTTTATGTAATCTGCTAAAACTCTGAGTAAGAGCTCAGCCATGGAGCCACCAATTTCATGATGATGGTCTTTTAAGGGTTTTGTTTCTATTTTTATTTATTTACTAATGAGACAGAAAAGATATCCTACTTCCCCCGACATTCTGTAAATACCTGTAGAGTCTAGCTGGGAAATCCTACCCTTTTTTGCCTGGAGGAATATCTTACTATACATTTAAACAAACAGACAAGTGTGTCCTTTGCCCTGAGATTTTTGCTGTTAATTCAATGTGGAAAAAATTAAAATCTGAATCTCAAAATGAATGTGTTTAAGGAAACTGAGTTCTTTATTGCCCTATGAATAACCAAGAGCTGTAGCTGATATCTACTATGCATCTGTATATGAAACTCTTCAAGCTGAGATAAACAGCTACTGTTTCCCAAGGGGTGTGTCGAACAAGAAAATGAAAATGGTAGCAATTTCACTATCACCATGTTTTTGTCTTTTATCAGTGTTTATCCTAAAACAACAGGCACACCTCACTATAAAACAATGTCTTTTCAGAGCTCCTTCAAACTATGGGATCATGTAACATAAATAATCAACAAAATTATATTTGTGTGCATTGAGTGCGTTATCTGTGAGCCACATGTAGAGGAGTATAGAACTAGCTATTTCTGTACTCTAGATAAAAATAAGATGACACAGAATAACAAGTTTGGGCTTGAAACAGAAATGCCAATAGATCATAACATTTCCTGAAGTTACAGTCCTATGGGGGAACTCAACCTGGCATGCTCTTGGAATGAAATTTCTACCCCAATAATTTTAAATCCAGCCTGTTAGAAAAGTAAGTGTGCCAGAAAATATAAAAGGCAAGATATCTGACTTTTCATTGCATTGCTCCTCAAATACTCATTTGCTTCCTTGATAATTGAGTGCATGATGAATGTAAAATGATACGTCAGTGCTACGATACAGTTCGCGTCCGCTGTGCGCAGATGGAAATTAATGTATGAGGTGCAAGAGAAAAGGAAAACAGACCTGTAATGGTTAAGTGAAATTAACTTCGAAAAAGATTTGAAACCAAGCATTGTACTCCTAACAGGAAAATAAGAAATAGAAGAGGAGATAGATTAGACACAAACCCATTTAACTACAGCTCTGAAGGAACAATCCCTTCCGTGGACGTGCATGATGCAAGCGCAAGTTCCTCCTCCAATTTATAGTTAGTTTACATAATATAAAAGCTTTAAGAAGAGTGGTGGAAGGGACATCCATGCAAGAATAGCCAATATCACCAAGTTATAATTTCTGACTTGTTGGCTTATCTTATGGAATCTCTTCTCGCTCACTTTCTCAGTTTGATCTCAAAACCAGTTGCACAATTTTTACCATGGAAAGTTCTATCCATCAGCACAAAATTTATGTTCCCACAAAAATGTCTGAGTTCAGCAACTCAGCATTTCCTGAGGAAAACCTGTGTTACTGAATAATCTTGATCAGCTCAGTCATTTTACATGCATAAACTGGGATTCCTTGAAGCATGTAGGTGCTTTGCACTTGAAGCACTGTATTGGGTTTGCATGGCAAGGTTTCGGTAGCAGCGGGGGACTACAGGGGTGGCTTCTGTGAGAAGCTTCCCCTATGTCCAATAGAGCCAATGCCAGCCAGCTCCAAGAGGGTGGCCAAGGCCAAGCCCATCAGCAACAGTGGCAGCACCTCTGGGATAACATAGTTAAAAAGGGGGGAAAAAACCCAACAGGACACAAAACTGCAGCCGGAGAGAGGAGTGAGAATACGTGAGAGGGAGGACTCTGCAGACGCCCAGGTCAGTGCCGAAGGAGGGCAG